TTGTGTAATGGAAGGTTCACACAGCTGCTGGATCCTATGGAGAGAAAAACAGGGGTGTGTCTTTAGGGGAGGGACACGAGGAGTCTTTGGGCCCTTTGGCCGTGGAATCCTCTGCAGCTCAGACTGGCCCTCATGGGGGCACTGAGACATGGCTACACTGTCCTCTCCAGTGACACATTGCTGGAGTCAGACCAAACTCACTGCAAGCTGCATTTAGAAAATGCTGAGAAGCATTTCAGCTCCAAGGCTGCCAGTTCTGCCTGTGCAGTCTAGGCCAGGAAATGCCAGTCAGCACGTTTTCCTTGAGCTGTGTCACACAGGAGCAATCCCAAGGAAGGCAGGGATGCACAGGACCTGCTGCAGTGTCACAGGGATAAAAATAGCTGCTTTTAAGGGTAAATAGCCTTATAATGCAATAGGTGCCAAAATGATCTTCAGAGGAGGTACTTTTGAAAATTAAATATAAATATATATATATTAGGTATAAATACATCTTGAGCTTTATTTTTCTTCTTCCCCATTTGTAGTGGTCTCGTACTTACCGTGTGCTAAACATTCATCTGGGTCTGAGGGTGTTGTAGGCTGCAAACAGAACGTTTTTCTTGGCAGTTTCTCAGCCAGATGCAGTGAAAGCATCACCTGTGTGCAGATGAACATCCACGAGCATTGTGTGTCTCCACTGCAGTTACAGGGAGGAAAAAAAAACCAAAATGGTTTTTTTTTTTTTTCCAAAATGAAATACACAGTAAATATTTCACAACCTCATAAATAAAAAATGATTGATCTGATTTTTTAAAAACATGTTTCCCTTTGGGCTCTGACTAAGCGTGAGAAAGTTCGGACTGAGAAGGAGTTTATTTGGAAAAGCAGTGAAAGGTTAGAAGCAGGGATGTGGGCTGGAATAGCCTTGCAAATGTTAACTGAGGAGGCACAGGGCTAACACCTTGCATGTGCACAAACGTTTGGAGGGCTGTGAATTCAAACCATGAAATTAATATAGTCAAAATTGATGTTTTCTTGCCCACACCTTACTCATACAGGATATGGTGTTAGTAATGTTCTGACAGGGATGGGAAGGTGGGGGTGGTTTGCTGGTGTTAATTGAAGGTTAAGGAAGAACTTTTAGCATCTCTGTTTTTTGCTTATTTTAAATATTCAAATTTGCAGTCTTAATGTTTTCTGAAAGTAAGTTTTAGCTTTTGATTTCCTTTTACTTTTTTTGGGGGGTACCAGTGCAAAAACTGGGGAGTTCACTGTTGTGCTTACTAACACCTTAAACGATGAAAAGCCTGATGTAAACGGTGTGTGTGCACACCCACGGTGATCCATTAGTCATTTACAACTCTGTGATTCGTTTTCCAATGTCCTTATTTAATAATTCTCCTGCTCCTTCGGGAGAGCTATAAAAATGGATTTTATTTTCCTAATGTGTTTGCATTTTAAGTAGGTGAAGTCTCTTTAGATTCCCATTTGCCAAACATGGAGATGAATATGTTCATCTTCACGTTTAGATGACCAATGGGCTGAGACCAAGAATGATAAATTTTGCTGCAGGAGGAGGAATTAAGAAAATAATGAGGAATTTGGTTTTGGGATCTACAGCATGAAGAAATTTTGAGCTTAAGGCCCAAGATATGGGAAGGTTTAGGCTGGATCTCAGGGAAAGGTTCTTCCCCCAGAGGGTGGTTGGCACTGAACAGGCTCCCCAGGGCAGTGGGCACAGCCCCAAGGCTGCCAGAGCTCCAGGAGGGTTTGGGCAACGCTCTGAAGGACAGGGTGGGATTGTTGGGGTGTCTGTGCAGGGCCAGGGATTGGACTGGATGATCCCCGTAGGTTCCTTCCAGCTCAGGACATTGTGTGGTGTGTCCCCTCAGAGCTGGAGCTGTTGCCTGTCCCAGAGCCCGGTTCCTGCAGCTGCAGGACTGGGTCACTCATTCCCCCTGCAGTGAGGCTTCTCTGGCAAGGTGCAGTGCTGGCCTTTGCACCCTTGCACAGCTTACTCTTGCTCTGAGTTCATTGCAGGACTGCAGTGGGGGGTTCATCACTGCAATCTCCCAGGTTTTCTGGAACATGACAGTCCCATTTGCCTTTCTCTCTCTGTTAGTCCTGACCCAGCCTTCATGTAACAGCACCAACCTCTTATCTGATGGGGGTGAAATTGGGAACAGTTCCTGGACCTGTTGTAGGGTAAATTTGAAGTTGCTCTTCTGACATAACTGTTACACTGAGGGCTCTTTTGGGATGTTCTCACTTGGGTATCCTGCCCAGTGTCTTGCCTAAGATGTGCTCAGGAACATCACACACAATGGAGGGTTTAATGTTCGTGCAAGTCCTGCAGTTCCATAGCTCTGGAGAGAAGCAGTTTCTCTGTGTATGGTTTTAATCTGAGGTTTTAGAAGAGGAGGTTTTCAGGTTGTCTAGATTTCTGTGGTCTTCCCGTTATCTTCTACAAAAAATTGCTAATGTACCCACAAAAATTAAATTCCTGCCCCTTTTCTGGGTACTGACCAAATACACCATGTTTACAGAAGTCTGGATGCAAACAGATCTCTTACAGAGTTCCTAGGCAAGAAAATTGATGGAGAAATATATTTATTCCAATAAAAAGAAGTATCAGTTTGTCCTGAAGATGCCAGGAGAGTTTCACTGACGGCAGAAATAGATCCCCCCACTGTCTGGTGAGGGATTCACTTTCCATCTTCCAACGTGCATTGACATTTATCAACAGAAAAGGTGTATAAACAGCAATGCCATTAATTATTCCAAATTCTTCTCTCAGCCTGACCCTTCTTCTGTTGAGCTGCTTGTTGGCATCTCAGCAATGCTGAACCTGAACAGCACACAACAAACCCAAACACTGCAAGTATTTTGAGTACTTAAGTTCTCAGCATTTTGACTTCTAAGGATCTTCATAACCAGGAAAAGCAGAGGGATACAAGGATCACCTTCCTGGCACCTTTTCCTTTCAGACTCAGTGGAAAGGTTGGCATTCTCAATTACCTGGAGAAATTGCAGAGAGGAGGGTTCTGCATCCCCCCTGCCTCATTTTAATCTCATTTTGTTCTCTAAGAAGTTCTGTGGAGTCAGGATCTCTTCTCCAGCGCTGCTCAGTCATTCAACTAGGACTTTTCCACTTGGGAAACCGGGCAGTGATTCCCATCTGGAAATCACAGTTCTAGACATGGACAAGTGAAGATGAAAAAAGATAGATGAGGTTTGCTTCTCTTTTCTGAAACTCTCTGTGCTGCATCATTTGATCTGACCAACTGTGAGGTATGTAAGTTTTGTGTTCCCATCCAAACCAGTCTGATTCCAGAAGGGGGTTCTGGTGAAATGGCCTTTATTGTATGTTATGTAGAGCTCCACAGTGTGGGCTGGATTCAGATCCTTACGGAAATCACAAATAAATCTCCCTTTATTGACAGATTATGTAGGTACAAGTACACCTGTTTAATCCTGCAAGGGGAGGTACTTCATTGTCAAATTGCTGGTAGTAGCACCTTATCATACCCATTTCACCATTCTTTATCTTTCACTTAGTTACAAATAGAACAAAAAAGAATCCAAACCTGCCCTAAAGTGACACCAGAATGAGGAATTAGGAAACAGGATCTGCTGGTGTCAGTTATATTGTCTGGTGTGTCTAAATTTTGTTGTGGAGCCTGAATATCCTGGTTCATGGTCTGCTTTGGGGCATGATTGTAAAACACTATAATATTTTTGCTTTAAATTGCTGATATTTGCTGTCTGTTTGGATTCAACTCGAGCATCCTTTTAACTGAGGGAGAAGGATATTCATGGATGTGTAGCATCCTGAGAACACCTGGGAATCCCTTCTCTCTCGACATCCAGTAAGTGCCCGAAACACCTTTTTCCCCAAAAAGTCTTTTTAAAAACATTCTAGAGTTTGTGACCATCAGGCTGTTCTGAACAAGGGTTCTTTCTGTCAGAAATTAAATCAGGATATTTCCCTCTGCAGGGAAGTTCCTGGTAGTCTGGCATTAAGTTTCCAAACCTGGTGGGATTACATTTAAATCTCCTTTGTGGTACGTTCAGCTTGACATGGTTTTGATAAAGTATCACAGAACTTATAGAATTCTCTGGCCACTGACTTGAAAGCAGCTTAAAAGTCACTGCGAGGTGAAATCAGTCCTGTGGCTGCTGATGAACCTGCAGCAGCTCTTCCCGGGAGCTGGGCCTGGCTCTGGAATGCTTCAGGGAGAACCCAAGCACCAGCCTGTGGCTCCAAGCCCTCTCACTATCATTTAGCCCCTTGCCAGCTGGAAGGTGAGCTGACACCTTGCAGCAGTTTTTTGGTCATTTCAGGGGATGTGAGCCCTCTGTGAGGGTTTGGGGTTACCTTATTCTTGGCTTGGCAGTTTGGATCCTGGGGACTCCCCTGTGGGAAGCACCGTGTTAAGCCAGCGTGTTCCCCGGTGTCTCCTGTGTTCTGAGCAAGGCCAAATGTCTGTGGGAAGGCAGTAAATGATTGTGAAATGAGTGATCTTGAATAGTTTGCCCACGGGGAAAATTTTTTCCTAACCCTCACTTAGGAGCTGGCTTGTGCCTTTGTGTGTGAGGGTTTCTGTCCTTTCCAGATTTCTGGATTTTATTACTATTTAATCCTTACTGACGTAACTCTGGATACTTTAATCCTCTTAAGAGGTTGCTGCTGACTTTGGGCTCAGTCCTGCTCCCTTTTCAAGGAATTTTGCCATGAGACACCTTTAAGCTGAGCTCTGATGTAAATTGCAACTGATTTTACTGGCAACCCCGTCCTTGGCTGTAAAATGCAGTTGTGAAGCTGTAACCTCAGTGCAGGGCACAGCTGGAGGGGGAGGAGGTGGAGCTCTGTGTCTGTCTGCAGACCTGCATTCTCCTCACTGCCAGCCCAGGGGCCAGAGAGAACCCCCCAGAGATGCCAAAGGAATTGTCCGTGAACCTGCGCGGGGAACGTCCTGCCAGCTTAGGAAGACATAAATGTGTTCCTTTCCATCTAGGTGCCCCTCTGGCTGCGGAAAGGGAGAAGAAGCCTCTCTCCAGAGCTGTCTTTGTGCTGCCCTGGGTGGAATCCACAGAAACAAGTGAGGGTCCCAGATGTTTTTTCTCCCTGATGTGTTGTAAGGAAGCAGTAGCTGCGCTCTGAGTCTTCTGGGAGGCTGCTCAGGTGGTGTGTGCTCTAGACACGGCTTGCATCTTTCCCAGTGGAAAACATGCAGCATGTTCCTCAGAAAATGCCAGCCTTTCCTGTTTCTTTGCATCAGGTGGATTAGTCATGGTCACTGGCTCTTCCTGAAGTGTTGTTGTTGCTTGTGATTCCCCTCAGTGAGGCAGATATCCCAGGAAAGATGGGGCTTTTTCCAGATGCTGCCACACAGCCATTCCCCAGCTGCAGCCCTTTGGGTTTGTCACCAGCAGACTCCCGAGTGCTCCAGCACCTGCCAGCAGATTTTCAGGAAACAGTTAAGGAGTGTGAAACTGAGTATCAGAGCGTCTCACGCCTGTGCTGTGATCCAGGGCCCTGGGCTGGAGGGATGATGCTGATACTTCGTGGTCTCTTAAGCCTCGCTCAGAAAACCTTTTTGGGGGAGAAACATCACGACCTTAAATAGAGAGATGACAGATAAAGGTGTTGCAGCTGTAAGAAATCCAACCCCGCCCCTTCCAGAGCTGCTGCTGGGCTTTATGAACTGTTTTGGAAACCTTGTTTCCCAAGGTGAGCCAGGAATCTGGAATTATCATGGAATCACAGAATATATCATTTAGAATAGATTTCCTGCTATTGGGTGCTTCCTTTGCCATTCTCAAGCCTCCTGGCATAAAGGTGCCACCCTGACCATGGAGCAGGACAAGCAGTGCTGTCCACAGTGTCCTCTTCTAATTTTCCTGCTTGTTTTTTTTGACTGGGACCTGTAACACTTAGGGATTAGGGCAAGAATTCAGCTGTCCCTACCAGACAGCTATTTCTGCAGTGCTCTGCAGGAGTAGGATCATTCAGGATTCAAGAATATCTACAGAGTGCCAGTTGCCCTGAGAGCTCCTCTATCAAGTAGCTTTTGTGAATTCTGCCATTTGAAAGGTCAGTGTGAGTTCTGGGTCAGGTGAAAATCGTTCTTCACCTTGGAGGAGTCCTTAGGGAGCTCCTGCAGCTCTGGACGCTTCTTGGGCTGTGCTGTCAGCACTGCAGGGATGTCAGCTGGATGGTGTATGGAACTGTTTGCAGTCTGGGTTTCTGGGATGCTGTGCAGAGCTCTTTGTTCCCAGTGGAAACCTGTTTGTACACAGCTTTTGTGGTGTTGGGTTCCTGCACTGAGGAGGGTGGGGTGAGTGATCTGTATTTGTAGTTTCTGATACAGAGGTCCTGACCTTCCGACACATTTCTGATTGCTCTTGTTCCCTTCCTGGGTTTCTAGAGCAAAATCCACTGAGACCAAGTTCCCAAGGAAAGAAGCCTCCTGTCCTGCCTGCCACTGCTGGGCATGTGTTCTCCACCCTCCCTCTTTCTGCCAAAATGAAACATGTACTTCCTTCTCCGTGCGGTATTTGAATCAAACCAGGAAAATATTCTCAAAATCTTTAATGCAGCATCTGGAAGGAGAGGAGAGCCGAGCTGGCTGCTCAGCCCCAGGGCAGGGGGTTCAGCAGCTGCAGGTCAGTGCTAACACAGACCATATGACAGGAGCCAGCCAGCAGCAAACCTGGAGATGGGCAGAGAAGAGCAGCGTGTTCCTGCTCTTTTATTGGGGTGCACTTGCAGCAGAAGGATCAAAAATGCTTTCAGACTCTGTGATCTTGGGGTACTTGGAACACCTGCCTGTTTCCCATCTCAGTCCACCAGTCCTTCATAGCTGAGGAGATGCCTAGGGAAAAGGCTGTGCCTTGCCTTTTCTAATAGTGAGATGTGATGCTCTATTTTGGTGTGTGTATTAAAGATTAAATGTGGGCTGACTGATTATACAAGGCTGGCACTGCTTAGACCTCTCTCTGGAAGTACTGTTCCCCTCAGAAAGACTCCTGAGCATGAATGGGAATGATACCTGTTGGAGTTTGGGTTTTAACTGGATGTCTTTGAAGCCTTTGGAAGTTCTGGTTTGCAGCAGGGTGGTGTTCTGTAGGCCTGTGGCCTGAATACCAGGTAGGGACAGCAGTGACCCTCCGTGCTGATGGGCTGAGGAGTGTATTTGCCTGTGCTGGCAGTGCCTGTTGGTGTGGTTGTGCTTTTGGTGGAGCTGCACTGCATTGGTGTCTCCCTGGTGATAGCAGAGAGCTTGAATGTGAGCAAACATGCTCAAGTAGCTTTACTTTGGCTCTGTCTGGTACCATCTCTCCAGAGGCTTAGGGATGGGGTTTCAGTGTTTGCAGCCACTTTTCCCCTGAAAAACTTTGTTGTTACCTGCACTGGATGTGGTGCCCCAGCTGGATACCTTGATGTAGTAGTTGTAACCCAGAGCAGGGAAACTACACTGGAACCGGCTCCCCAGGGCCATGGCCAAGGCCTGACAGAGTTTAAGGAGCATTTTGACAGTGCTCTCTGGATTGTTGAGTCTGTCATTGGACCCCATGATCCTTGTGGGTCCCTTCCAACTCAGGGCATTCTAGGATTCCAATTCGTAGTGCTCAGCTAGTTCTGCTCAGGGGGTTTCTTGCTAAGAAAGCAGATGCTGCTGGGATCAGCACTGGAAGTGTTGGAAGGCTGTCAGCAAAGATGGCTCAATTGGGTACAAAGGTAGGAGTCTGGCACGTGGGGGCAACCCTGAAGAAGGGCTGTTGTTCGGAGAGGTGAAGCTTGGCTGCACACGGCCAGCTCCTGGTGCTTTCCCAATCCTCCTTAAAGCTCCTCGTCTGGGGCTTGGCACCGTTTACCGGGTGTTCTTTGTGGAGTCAGATCAGTGCCAGTACCAGCTGGGACAAACTCCTGCTTCTGTGTAGTGTCTGGAGGTCATTCTGCCTGCAGGAAGACAGTCCCCTAACAGGGCCCTGCTTCCCCTGGGCTGTGCTGTTAGTGTTGTTACTGTGTTCCATTTTCCCTGCATGGCCCGGGAAGGAAGTACCCAGCATGTGCCACTCAAGACTCCACTGCTGACAGCAAGATCCCCACTGTTACAGACCACAGCTGGCTGTGCCTGAGTGTGAAATGGTGTGTTTGTTAGTTTTCCTCGGTTCTAACAAGTTTCCTTATTTACTGAGCACTTTTCTTCCAAACTGAGGCCATAAAAGTTTTCTTCCTCAATGTGGAAGTGCTTGGTCTTTGGGACTCCTTTGAAGAACTGATCTTCAGTTCAACTCCTGCATGACTCATTGTCCTTCAAAAAGGAACTTGGTTCCTTCTTTTGAGGACACCAGAGAGGTGGGACTGATGATGTTATGAGTTTTCTCTGCTACTAATTGGCTGTGGGGTTTTTTGCAGCAGCCAAGCAGAATAAAGGGCAAAAAGTGATTCTTTATTTAGTGCTGAAGATCATGTGCTGCTGGACTGAGTGGTGAACCCAAGTGAGCAGTTAGACTGTACCAACACATCCTAGCTTAAAATATGGAGTTATTTTTAAAATAAAATTATGGAGAAGTAAAATAAAATGTGTACGCTCTGGTGTGTTCAAATATGGTCAGGAAGAGGTGAAAACAAGGCTTTAACTTTGCTGATAAAATGGATGTGTGGGATACAAACAGCTGAGCTGCTGAATGGCAGCTCCTCTGAGGAGCTGTGGTAGCTGATGTCTGCACTCCTCGCTCCTGTTGGAGAGTAAAACATTAATTTCAAGATCCTTTGTGGCTACACCAACTGATGTGTTTCACTTGGTTTGCCATGGGCTCAGAGCACTAACCCATCAGCTACCACAGTTGGCTGACAAGTGCAGGGCTGCAGGAGGGTGACTGCTGAGGGATGGCAGGCTGTACCCCAGGGTGTGTGTCAGGCTGTACCCCAGGGTGTGTGTCAGGCTGTACCCCAGGGGGTGTGTCAGGCTGTACCCCAGGGTATCTGTCAGGCTGTACCCCAGGGTGTGTGTCAGGCTGTAACCCAAGGTGTGTCAGGCTGTACCCCAAGGGGTGTGTCAGGCTGTACCCCAGGGTGTGTGTCAGGCTGTACCCCAGGGTATCTGTCAGGCTGTACCCCAGGGTGTGTGTCAGGCTGTACCCCAGGGTGTGTGTCAGGCTGTAACCCAAGGTGTGTCAGGCTGTACCCCAAGGGGTGTGTCAGGCTGTAACCCAAGGTGTGTCAGGCTGTAACCCAAGGTGTGTCAGGCTGTACCCCAGGGTGTGTGTCAGGCTGTACCCCAGGGTATCTGTCAGGCTGTACCCCAGGGTGTGTGTCAGGCTGTACCCCAGGGTGTGTGTCAGGCTGTACCCCAGGGTGTCTGTCAGGCTGTACCCCAGGGTGTGTCAGGCTGTACCCCAAGGGGTGTGTCAGGCTGTACCTCAGGGTGTATATCAGGCTGTACCCCAAGGTGGTTGTCAGGCTGTACCCCTGAGGTGGATGTCAGGCAGCAGAGGGTGGAAAAACCCCACCAAGCTGACAAGGGAAATCCTCTTCCCACAGTGATGTGAGAGCTGAGCCAAAGACACTCTTGTCTCCATTCAGACCAAACCACATTCATAACCATCTTGAGCTGTTTTGCATCTGTCTGTCTGCCCCACACAGCTGTGCTGAAGGGGGTCAGTTGTTGCTAGGATTAAGTGGGGGTCATAGGGTACAAACATGCATGAAATCAAGCTTCACCAGTCCTCCTTCCACTGAGCACTGTCCAGTGTGTCTTGGATTGCTGGTTCTCCTGGCTTTGTTGGCTCTCTTTGGTGTTGTGGCTCTGACAGGACCCTGGATGCAGTCAGGAATCAGTGAGAACTGAGTGTGCAGTCACACCCAGTCCGTGCTGGAGTTGGCATATTGGGACTTGGATTTCTAAGAGCTCATACACTGACTCTGTGTTTAGTTGTGTTACTTTGCCCCATCCTGAGCAGTACTTCCCTGCTGTAGCACTGAAAGGAGGTGTCAGCAGGGCCTGCTGCTCTGTGTCTCTTGTGTGAGGTCTGTGTAGGCTGCACTGCAGAGCAGATAAATCAGGATATGCCCCCAGGCACACAGCACAGGGCACATGGGGGGCAGGACGAGACCATGGCTGTCTGTGCGCCTTCGAGTTTGGCAGAGCACGTGGGAGGGGTGTCAGTGCATGGGGGTGTCTGACTGAGCAGTGTGGTTGCAGTGCTTGACTTTCACCTCAGAGTTTCTAAAGTGGCCTGTTTTCTTCTTCCTACAGACAATTTTAGGTACACATGTGACATTTGTGGGAAAAAATATAAATACTATAGCTGCTTCCAGGAGCACAGAGACCTGCACGCCGTGGATGGTGAGTAATGTTTTGACACTCAGACACCCAAACTAGGATGGGAAGTCCATGGGGAAGCAAAATGCGGTTCTGCAGGACGGTGTGGCCCGTGATGTGCAGGACATTTCACAGCCTGGCTTTGTCATGGAGATACAGCGTCCAGCTCTGCAGGAAGGAGTTTGCTGTGCTTGATTCTCTTGGTGTGCATTAAAACAAACCCCCATGCTGGGGCCTGGGGGCTCTGGTCCTGTCTGCAGGGAGGTTCCTGGTTAGGGTGGATATCCTGGAGTGCCCCAGGGTAAATGGTCAGCCTGGCTACTCGCTGGGAAAGAGTTGGTTGCCTTTTGGTTTCTGACTTTACAGGTTTGTTCCCAACATACTCCTCTGAGAGAAACCACATTTCAGAGTTGGGAAATGTTGTTTTGTTGTTGTTAATTACCCTGGTAGTGAACTGATGGGCAGTGGCCCCTACAGGCTCATTTTTCCTCTCTCTGTGACTGTAGATGTGACCTAGGCTGGTGACACTTGGACAGAAGCAGACCTCCCCTGCCTAATGCAGTGTTTCTTTATCCCACATGGTGGGGAAGAGAAGCATCAACATACTGACTTTGGCTTGCCCCCTGCTTACTGGTTATCCAGAGCTCCTCAGCTCAGAGCCCACAGGCACTCCAGACCCTCACTGTGTGTGCTGCACTCTGAGTACTGCCCCTCATTGGCCAAGGATGGAGCCCTGACAGAGTTCTAGAAAGAGGCTCCTTGGGCAGCAGCAGGTTTTGAGCAGCACTGTCTCAGAAAAGCAAGTGGTTTTTCACAGTACTTGGTGTGCAGAAGAATGGCTGTGTTTAACTGGAATGTGTGGACATCTGAACATGCTCTGAGGACAGCCAGTGTTCTCCTGCAGGGCACCAGTGCCAGCTCCCTCCCTCCTGTGGGGAGCCAGCATGAAATTAGTGCGACTGAGAGTCACTGTGAGGGGAACATCTCTCCTTCAGTCAGGAAAGTCTCACGGCCGTGGTCCAGGGGCCCTGTCGAGGGCACAGCAGGGCTGGAAACGGCCCCTCGGGTGCCCCACCAGGACACTGTGCCAGTGCCTGAAGGGGCTGCTGGTGTGCCAGCACACACAGGTGTGAGGCAGCTGGGCATCTGAACCTCTGTGGGGCCGTGCCAGTGTCAGAACAAAGGCCTTGAGGATCTGTGTGGATTAGGGCTGGGCATGCTCAACTAGTTCCTGTGTGGATGCTGCTGGGAAGAGGAGGGACTGGGGCACAAAGCCTGGTTTATTCCGTGGGGCTGAACTATGCTGAGCAGTATGTGAAATGCAGGAGGAAAACAAGACCTTTTAAGAGGATTTAATTTCTGTTTTGTTTCTTCCCCTCCTTCTTCTATTCTGTGTTAGTTTTTAGTGTGGAAGGGGCCCCAGAAAACCGGGCAGGTAAGCCGAGCTCCTTTGTGTGCTTTATTTCACAAACCTTTTCAAGCATTCAGTAGCTCAGACACAGAAGGTCCAATTTTGAACTTTGAAGAGTCAAGGGAGTTTTGTCATGGATTGCAGAGGGACAGGGAGTGTCCTCTCTCCCTCCCCCAGTGTCTATAGCCAGTAGGTTGATGCCCAGCCCTAGCAGATACCAGGCTTTTGTTGCACATACAATTGATCAGGCTTCAGAAAATCAAAGAAGCAGGTGTTTCATGTCTTTGGTGCTTTAGTGAATTGTTCAAGGTATAAATGAAATTCTTTTATAAAATGGGTTGGGTTCTGATTTGTGGCTAGCTGTGCTGTTAGCTGGTAGAAGCCCCAGGTCAGTATTTGTTAGGTGATTTGTCTGCAGACTGCATTGCCCTGCCCACTGCCAGCCAGTACAGCAGTGTCAGAGGGGAGATGCACTGGAAGAAAATCAGAAAATATGGATCAGATGTTGCAATGTGTTTGTTCAGTTTTTCCTCTGTTTTTTTTTTAAACATTATTACCTACAAGGCATGTTCCTGGGCTGGAAGCAGGGATAATCCTGGGGCACCCGAGGAGGAGGAGAAGGGACAAGTCAGACAGAGGGGTCATTTGGTTTATAATTCCTGTCTTCACATCTTGTTGCAGATGGAAATGTCATACAGATGCAGGAGCATTCAGTGCCCATGCAGCTGTAGGAGGCAGCCCTGAGGGTGTGTCAGCTGAGCTGCTGCTCTGTTCTCTTGCAGACCCCTATGACCAGGCCGTCATCGCCGCCGACGAGGTCAAGGAGGAGGAGCCGGAGCCATTCCAGAAGATCGGGCCAAGTAAGAGCTACCACCCAGCTTCAAATGGCAGGGGAAGCACAGGGGGCACAGCTGCCCTTGGCTGGATACCTCCAGGAACTCCAGGAAGCTCTGCTACACAGAGCTCTTGGGACTTGATATGTTCAGGTTCAAAGGAGCATCAAACACCGACAGCCCTGGCCCTAAGGACTGCAGTTGGTGATGTTTTCTGCTCAAGAGCTCTGCAAAGGGAGGAGGGAGAGGGTTCAGGGGAAAAGCAGTCTGGCAGCAATGAGAGAGGGCCTTAAGGTGGCAGAGCTGGCAGGAGATCTGTTCACACTGCCTTTGTGGTGGGTCATCAGAGCAGAGGGAAGCAGAGAGAGCACCAGACTGACAAAGCGTTTCTCCAAATTCTTCACTTTGGAAACGATTGATTATCCCTGGGTTTTCCTTTGGCTTGCTGTCAGTTCTGGACTGACACTGGCAGGCGCAGGAGCAGGAGGGGTCAGTGTGTGCTTACACTCCATTATTTCCAGTACTCCCACAGCAGGAATAAGCACTGTTGCTCCTGAAAAACCCCTTGTCCTGCAAGAGAATTCTACAACCCCAGTATAAAAGTTCTATACTACTGAAGTTTGACTACTTGTTTCCTAGTTTGACTCTTCCTGTTGTCCACACATCACAAACTTTCTATAACCAGAGGACAAAACTGTGCCATCTGTAATACAGACTTTAGAAATGGATCCTCTCCTTTGTTCTGCACTTCATTGCTGTAATTTTGGGGTAATCTCCTTCAGTTCTGCTGGGCTTTTTATGCACAGTCCATCCCTCTGGTCACTGATTTGAGCTGTTTCCTTTCTTGGGAAGGATGTGTGGAATACAGGGGAGGTGAGTTCCACATGTATGAGGAATGTGCTCAAGTTTGTGTCACCTGGCCAGTTTATATGTAAAAAGACAAGAATTGGGGGTTATGTAAGGGGGCTGCACCCCTTCCTGATCTTTGTGCTTGTGTCATTTCATAGAAACTGGCAATTACACCTGTGAGTTCTGTGGGAAGCAGTACAAGTACTACACTCCCTACCAAGAGCACGTGGCCCTGCACGCTCCCATCAGTGAGTATCTACTGTTCCCCTGCAGGCTCTGATTTACAGGGGTTGTGCTGAACATGAGGGTGGCAGCAGGGATCATTCTTGTGGGTCCTTCCCCTGGAGCTGTGGGATTGCAGTGGGCAGGACATGGATCACGTGCTGCCCAGGGACTGTAAAGCTGAGCTGGGATCTCCTCTCACAGGGACACTGTGAAGTGTCACCAACTCGTACCCCAGTCCCTGCAATTCTACACATGTTCCTTGGGGGTTTGAAGGTTTAGTTTGTTGCCAAAGTGAAGTGATGCACCAAATTTGTAGGCTCCCCTAAATAATAACTGAATGTACATGTTAGGGAAGAAGCATCTTTCTTACGAGCTTCTAGGAGGTTATTTCAGACAGTGAGTTAAAACTGAGTTTCAAAGTCATGTACTTGACCTCGTCAGCCTGCTGCTAAATCACAGGCAAGAAGCCATGTATTTCAGGGAGCTCCAGAAAAGGCAGTTCTTGCTGCAGCTGTGGAGGGACACCACATTCTGCTCTCCCCAGACAAAGGGAGTTTTTAATGAACAATTCTGGAATTCATTGCAAAATTTGAGTGAACTAGTTTAGAGAAATTCTTGCTAAGTGCTGGACTTGAATGCTCTAAAAATATGCAGAGAAGTTCTTTGCACCTCAACTTCCTGCTCCTTTCCCAGCATTGCCCTGGGCTTTGTCGTGGCTGTTCCTGGCCCGGGCGTGTCCTGCTCCAGGGTTTGGGATGATGGAGAGGAGGGACGGGCGAGTTCATCCCTCAGGGGGTGCCTCCAGCTGCCGCCAGCAGGGGGGGCGCGCGCCTCCCTCCCCAAATTCACCGGCACTCGCGATTTTAAGGGATCCTAATAAGGCACCTTTGGGTTTATGGGAACACAGTCCACCAGACTGCCACTTTTGAGGTGAGTCAAGGTTTGGTGGCTCTTGGCAGCTCCCATGCAGGTTCTCTGAAGCTTAGAGATAGAGCAGGATGAGGGCAGAAGGTGCAGGGCACAAAATGCCTCTACCACCAGCATCACAAAGTTGATCTTGTTGTCTGCCATCTGCTGAAGGAACTACCCCAGTAATGTGACTGCACACATAACGGTTATTCCTGAGCTTCCCTGCAGCCCCAAACTCCTCCTCTCCATTCAGGTGTTTTCAGTCCTCAGCAGAGCTGTTGGTGACCAGCAGTGGCTCATCTGTGCCCTTGGGCTCTGGGGTCACTGGTGCCCCAGGCAGAGAGCTCAGGAGCAGTGAGCTCTGAGGACTGGGCATTGGGGATTTATTGCCATGCATATCTTTGCACCCTCCCAGCCATCTGAAGCAACAGCTGAGCTGCTGGTTCCAGTCCAGGCTCTCCAGCAGAAAAGAAACCCACAGCAGTTGTTCCCGGGGAGGTGTTTCCCTGGAGTGGGCCCTGCAAAGGCCTCCACAGGCCCTGCCCCTCTCCTGGGCAGCTCAGGGTCCTGCCCAGTCCCTGCTTTGTGGCTGCTGGGGGCCAGTTTTGGAGGAGGAGGAGGAGCAGGAGTGTTCTTTGGGATGCTGGGGTTGAAACCATTCCTGTGCCCTGGTTTCTGCTGTGAAAGAAAAGAAGCTGCCTCTAAACTGCAGACTAAAGCAGCAGCCAGAGATGTGCAGATGAGTTTCCAGTGCTTTCAAATATCTCTAACTATGAGGACACTTAAAAACAGATCAAGATAATATTTTCATATGGTTTAACCCCTTCCCCATAAACTTTTCTTTTTCCTTTTTTTTAACCATTTTTTTCCTCTCCTAGTTCCCATGGCCAGTAAGAGTTATGATTTACAGTGACAAGACACTAACCCTGATGAGGATACAGGAGAGGGCACAATGAGCTCCCAAAGCAGACTGGCCAGTTCATTCCCCCACCTTCCAACTGCTCCCGCTCTGCTCTTCCCAAAATCCAAGGTCTTGGGAGGCAGCTGACTTTTGAAAATCACAACTGGCTTTTTTGAACCCTTGCAGTCAGAGTAAAGCTGAGAGTGTGTCCTTACCCTAGTCTTGTTCTTCTGGGTATAAATCAAATGCTGAAAAATTAGTGATAGTAGGAATTGGTAAAGAAACCCCTTTAGCATTTCCACATCAGCTTTCTGAAGCTGGAGTACAAGCTTCCCTTCCAGAGCCTGTCCTGGTTTTCTCTCATAATGGATAAAAAGTCATTGAAAGTGGGCTAAAACAAGGACTGAAATCCTGCAGGGTCAACAGGAACTTTGCAGGATAATTTTGGGTCAGTGCTGCTGTCTGGAGAAGAACTCTGCTGTGGGGTTCCCTGGAATTATTGATGCCAAATGTCTCCAAAGTTCACTTTTTTGAGTGAGGAGAAGTGGCTTTTAAATAAGCCTAGAACTGGGCTATGGCCCTTTAAAAATACACATTTCTCTGCTGTTTCTGTCAGCGTGTTCACTCTTTCAAAGGAGGGTGTCAGGGACTGTTTGCAGGACAGAAGTGGATTGTAGACACAACCACTGTCCCAGTTTTAGAAATGCCCATGAATGGAGGGGCATGGGGAGGGTTCAGACATTTATCTGTCCTCACTCAGGCTCTGGCTGCTCTCTAAGGTGGGACTGACTGAACCATGCTTGCATCCCCTGGGCTGTTGGGATTGCTTGGAAAGATGGAGAGGGACTATTTCCAAGGCTCTGCAGTGACAGGACAAGGAGGAATGGCTTCAAAGTGCCACCACGTAGGTTTAGATTGGATATTGAGAAAGAATCCTTCCCTGTGAGGGTGATGAGGCCCTGGCACAGGTTGCCCAGAGAAGCTGTGACTGCCCCATACCTGGAAGTGTCCAAGGCCAGGTTGGACAGGGCTTGGAGCACTCTGGGATAGTGGAAGGTGTCCCTGCCCATGGCAGGGGAGTGCAATGAGTTGGACTTAAAGTCTTTTCCAACCCAAACCATTGTGGGATTCTATGATGTGCTTGCAGTGCAGAGAAAACTTGGAACATTAGGGATATGGACTGGCTGCAAATCCACCAGGAGTGAGATTTAGCTTTTAGTCTGATTTCCTGAGTCCAGGCTTGGGAATGTGCATCACCACATCCTTCTCTGGTACCTGCAGGTAAGGCAGCAGACTCCCAGGCCATGGAAACATGTGTTGAGAGCACTGAACTCTCCACAGCTCTCCATGTCTTTTGCTTCCAGGATGAAAATCCAAAGTGATTTTAGTGCCCTGGGAGCATTAGAAGGTCCTGAAGATCCTGAGCAGCCTCACGGGAGGCCTGTGCCCAGTGTCACACTCCCTGTTCCTGTGTGAGCCATCAGGCCCTTCTTGGCTGCACTGTAGGATGTTGGTCTCCAGCTCTGTTGTAGATATGCCCATGCCTGGCTGTAGATCCCATGGGTCTGGATCTCAACCCACAGATTGACTTCCCAGCTTGATGTCCACCTGTCCCATCATTCTGGACCTCCCTGAGGATCCCTGGTGTGTGTCTGGCCCTGGGTAACCTCACCAGAGCTGATCCTGCTGCTGACCTGTGGATTGACTTCCCATGGATTGACCATGGATGGACCTGTGTCATTGCCCTGAACTTCCTGAAGATCTGGACCTGTGGTTGAAGCTGTCTCTCATCTCCGGTCCTTGCTCACCTCTCTCAGGGTCTCTGGGATGGGCCCTGGCTGTTGAAGACCCTTCCCTGCCAGCCCTGGGATCATTCTTGGCTCTGCAGGGGACAGACAGACCCACACCCACCCTGACACCTGAGATGCTCAAGGAAGTTCATCCAGCCTCAATTCCTTTCCTCAATTCCTCCATCCAACTCAATTCCTTTCCTTATTGAGAAGGACACTGGGTATCACTTGTTCATCAGAAGTGCTTAAATGCAGTGTTCCATGAAGGCAGCTGCCCTCATGGGTTTTCCCTTAGAGAAAGGGATCCTTTTTGGTAGCACATGTGGTTTCCACACAGATCCTGCCTAACCAAGAGAAAAACAGCTCCAGATTCCATTTGGATGGTGTGTCTTTGCTTCCTCAGTGGGGGAAATCTATGAGTTCAGGTGTTTTCCCCACTCTCTAATCCCTTGGCAACAGGCTCCACCTGTTTGTGTGTGTAAAGGCACACATTAAAAATTTGATAGGTTTGAGCAGAGTGGTTTTCCTGTGGAAAGACCTGTTTGCCATAGTAGAGGTGTCTGCTCAGAGTATATTGGATTTCAGGCCATTGTTACGGAATCACTTTCCATCATATTCAGTAGAGGTGGGTTTTTTCTCCACAGGTGATGGTATAATTTCATCTGAACCATCCAAATGGTTTCTTACCCATCCTGGCAAGATCTTTTCTGAACAAATGCCGTACACAAATTATTAGCCAGAATTTTTGCCTGGAAAAAGTGATAATTACTGAGATAATCTGCTCTCTGATGTGGTGGTGCATTGTGGCAGTGAGTGGATTTACGTGTGCCACATTTTTTCCTGGCTGCCACAGCTTGCCATTCACAGGGCTTGAAGGTCTTCCCAAAACCAGGGAAGCCAGGAGGGACCACTGTGATCTCTGCACTGCCCAGAGAAACACATTGTGTAGGATTGCCTTGATTTAACTGCTCACAGATAAGTTTTAGAGAGAAATCTAATCTTGCTGTTGAGTGACAGAAAATACAGCAATCTCTTAAGGTAATTATTTTGATGCATTATTACCTTCACTAAATTGAGCCTGAAAATATCCAGCTGTAGCTTTCAGGCACCAGATCCTATTTATAACTAGTTCTGCTTGGTGAAGGAGGACTAAGTTACCAAATTTCTGGCCTTTGCAGACCCTTGCTCTCAGGTCCCTCATCTCCCACTTAAACCAAAGGACTGACTTGTGTTTCCATTGTAAACCCTGCTGCTCTTGTCCTTCATTTATCCTCTTGTTTTCTGCCCTGACTGTTCTGCAGTGAGTTCCCCACCCTCCTGGAGGAGCTGAGAGCTCCCATTGTCTCCCTGCTGCCCTTGGGAAGTGCCCCAGTTCACACCCAAAGAGAACCTCTGTCGTTTCAGCCACAGCATCACCCTGGGAGCTCCTCTGCAGCCACCCTGGCCGAGCACAGCAGTGAAGAAGCTCCTTGCTGCTGCCAGGAGTGCCCCCCCTTTTCAGCATCACCTGTCCCAGGTGTATCCTTGAGCACACCGTGTGCCACCCTCAGAGCTGCAGCACAGCCCTCGCTGACTGGAGATCACGCAGTGACAATCACCCTCTGCATCACTCTCCTCCTGCTCTCCCTCCTCCACCTTCCACTGGGACGTGTCTCAGCTGCTTCCTGAGGAAGTTTAAAGACCTGCAGAGCAGCAGTTATGGCATTGTCTGCCCACGGTGTTCTCTCCAGCCTTGCTGTGTAGCTGCACATTTTGAGGCAGGAGGTTTTCGTGGCCATTCAGCCACTCAGTATTTTTATTGTTAGAAATATCTTAGCCTTTTTGTGAGCCTGAGGCAGATGACTTTTCAAGAGTAGAGCAGAGGAGCTGCATCACGGTCTCTACTTGTGTTGCTCAGTTTTAGAGGGAGTTTGTCATCTGATGAGCATTTTTTTCCCAGTGAACTATTATCATCCTCCAGACTGCTAGAACTAATATTCCTTTGTCTGGCTTGCATTGCTGGCTCAAACTCTCTCTCTGGTGTCAGATGGAGGAGCCTTCTCTCTGGGGTCTCAGTTTGAAGACATACTATTTGTTTAAGTTGGGAGGAAAAAGCAGAAATTTTGGAGATCATCAGAGCATTGAGATTTTTGTCTTCAGGTCTCAGAGAGCAGTGCCTGGGCTGCAGAGGATGTACAATGGTGCTCTTTGTGACACTGAAGAGTTGGCTCCCCTGGTATGGATGGAGAATAAAGCAGCAACTGGTGGGAATGGTCCTCATGGGAAACCAGATGACACATAAGGAGGAAATTTTCCTATCTGACTACATTTTTGCTGGCAGTTTGGCAGCAATTGGAGGAGGATTATCCATGGAAATTGAAAGGAAGTATAGGGAGCAAATCAAGCCTCCTGCCTGTTCAGCTGGCCAGAGAGCAAGCAGAGAAGTACCTTACCTAAACTATGAGAAAAACTAGTGCAAGGTCTCCTGCAGAAAAACAGAAATGTCAGCCTAGGTCTGTGTGTCAGAGGAAGTGAAACAAAATACCTGGAGTTCCAAGTCCCTCTGCATGTACACACCCCCACTCCCCAGTGCTGCTGACAGGGAGGATGAGGGGATCACATCTGAGGTCTGTAATGGCTCCTGGGATTTTGGAAGTGAGCATCCAGTCCCAGTCGGAGGAACTTCTCTCCTCCTCTGTTTCACAGTCAGGCTGTTGTGCTGCCATGGCATTCCATGGCAGCTGCTCCCTGGGGATAAGTATTTCTCAGTTACACTATACAGGATGGGTGGAGCCCCTGGTGGTCTAGTGGTAAGGGCGCCGCGCTATCACCGCGGAGACCCGGGTTCGATTCCCGGTCAGGGCCACTCCCGGGCAGGTGGGGCTCGTTAGCCATTAAAGGCAACCCACCTACGTCCTAAGGACCTCGCTGCCACCGTCCAAGCTCGCTTGGCCCCGGCAGATGAACCTTAGGATTAAAGGGTGGGCTCAGTTCCACGCACACTGTGTCTCACCTAAAAAATCCAATGCGCAGGCTGGAAGGTGGAAAGACCTTCCCCGGATCTTCGCTCGCGAAGACTGGCCATTATTATACAGGATGGGCAGTGCTGGTGTTGTCCATCCACCTTTAGGCATCCTACAGAATCACTCCATAGAAATTACTGAGTGAAATTAGGGAGATTGGGCTCTGGGTTAAAAAACTGTGGGTTAAAACCTTGTTTCTTAGTGATTCTTCATGACAGATGGTTGGAGTGAGACTTGAGCTCCAGGAGCTCTATCCAGATTTCCATAGAAGAAGCCACTGAGGAATGAAGTTGTTTCTTAGATAATTTCTCCATTTTTATAATTGTTTTTTGATCCACGTGGCCCAGACAAAGGGCTGACCTCCTGAAGGTTTTTTCACATGACTTTTGGCATTGAAAATTCCTGGTGATCCTCACTGTGCATTGCAGAGACCAAGATGGAGATGCATTCAAAGAACATATCCCAGTAATACTGAGAATTTCTCCACATGTCACCAGTACTGATCTGGAGATGGGGACCAAAAGGCCTTTACTCACTCTACCTCCTGATCCCATTTCATTCCCAACAGCCCCTTTTCCTTTGTATTTGGTTGAAGAGACAAGAAATGTAGCTGGAGATCAGTAGGATTTATGCAAGGCTCAGGGAACAAAGATACTTCTCTCTGCTCAGAGCTCTGAGTGTCACTTTAGAAACCTACTCTCAAAATCCAGTACCTAGAAATGGAGGCCAGAGCTGCAGGTTCACCCAGCCAGGCCATGGCAATCCAGCAGTGCTCCTGGATGGCTGGGGTGATTCCTGCTGGAGGAGGAATGGGTTGGTCACATAGGAGGTGAAGGTGTGGAAGGGAATTAATAAGCTTCAATAATCACCCTGGGGTGAGTGGGGAAAGCAGTGCTGTTCCCTGGGGTCAGTGCTGTTCCCTGGGATCAGTGCTGTTCCATAGGATCAGTGCTATTCCCTGGGGTCAGTGCTGTTCCCTGGGATCAGTGCTGTTCCATAGGATCAGTGCTATTCCCTGGGGTCAGTGCTGTTCCCTGGGATCAGTGCTGTTCCATAGTATCAGTGCTGTTCCATAGGATCAGTGCTATTCCCTGGGGTCGATGCTGTTCCCTGGGGTCGGTGCCGTTCCCAGATCCGCAGTGGCTGCAGGTGCCCGTGCAGGGATGGCCGAGCGTGGCTGTCACGCAGCAGCTCCGGCAGGCCCAGGTCTGGGAGCTCACTGGCTGTGCAGGCACTAGTTCTGAGTGTTCATATCCAGAGTTCTCTCGATCTCCACTCTTCGTGGCAGTGAAGACCCAGACGAGCCAGTCCAGCAAGAAATCTCCGGCGTCCCTAAACCGCTGCTCCAGCCTCCTGCACCGCACCCCCTCCGGGGTCCCGCCCGCCTCCCAGTCCCAGATGTTCCGCACTCCGAATTCGGGATCCCCAGGAAGCAAGGCCATCACAGGTACCGGTTGCCTTTCTACCATCAACTTTCTTAACTGCTTAGTGTCCAGTCCTGCCCTGGGTTGGCTTTTGACCCTCGCTGGACTCAGTCTGCTCCATCCATGACTGTCCCAGAAAAGCTACTCTCAGAAGCCCTTGAAGGGGTTAGATCCGTTGGCATGTTATAAATTTATCTCAGCAGTGGATCTTTGTAACCTCTTCCCAGTGACAGGTTGGTTTTGTTAAGCATTGTGGTAATCACAAGGTTTAAAAGACCTTGTCTCAAATCCTGGTATCACAAACTGAGGAGAACTTCCTGACAAGGACTGCTGTGATGGCTTGTCAGGAATGGGCGTTTTTGTTTGCTTTTCAGCCCTGTTTGGCATTTAGTGTTTGCTTCCCTCAAGGTGATGTTTCCAGGGCTGTGTCCGTGCCTTTGGCAGTGGAGTACAGGTGTTTTCACAGTGCTCCACTCCCCAGGAAACTCCGAGAGATAAACTGAACTCCAGCAGAAAAGTCGATGTCACAGAACCATTACAGTAGTGTCAGAAAGCTCAGGTTAGGATTGTTCCTCCCATTGTCTGTTTCCTCCTTCCAAACAAGATCAAACCCTAAAAAAAAGAAAAAAGTATAAAAAGAAAGCAAAGTATTAAAAGAAGCAACTGAAAAATAACAGTTACTAAATAGGGTGTGAGACATAATGTGACGTGCTGGGAAGCACTCTGTGGGATTGATGGATGTATATTCCAACTGTGTGCAGCAGGAGGGCTGGTCAATCGGTTGGTGTTTAGATGCCCCTAACGGAGCCCCTGGTGGTCTAGGGGGTAAAGGCGCCGCGCTATCACCGCGGAGACCCGGGTTCGATTCCCGGTCAGGGCCACTCCCGGGCAGGTGGGGCTCGTTAGCCCTTAAAGGCAACCCACCTACGTCCTAAGGACCTCGCTGCCACCGTCCAAGCTCGCTTGGCCCCGGCAGATGAACCTTAGGATTAAAGGGTGGGCTCAGTTCCGCGCACACTGTGTCTCACCTAAAAAAAAAAAAATCCAATGCGCAGGCTGGAAGGTGGAAAGACCTTCCCCGGATCTTCGCTCGCGAAGACTGGCCATTATTATATTATTATTATAGATGCCCCTGAAATGTCTGGCAGGGGCAGATGCTGAGTACAAGGGTGGCTGTGCTGGGAGAGGATGGGATGGTGAACAAGTGTGGGTTTTGTTAACCACATACTGCCACAGCTGCCAGGGCTTGCTGAGAGACCTGTCTCTTTACAATTTGGGAATCCTGGGATTCCATATTGGTACTGCATCTCTTAGACGTGGATATGAGGTTTTTACTAATTTGAGGTCCATCCAGTTCAACCAAGTCAGGAGTTAAAGCTGACAAGCATTTTTCATTATTTGCTTAAACTTACAACAACTTCTTCCAGTTTCATGTCTCACAAAAATGGAAAAACAGGGAGCCCTCTTGGGCCAGAGGCCAGTCATCTGAGCAGGAACTGGGAGGTGTTTTTGGTAAGAGCACTCTTTTTCTCCCACTGCTCTAATGAAAAGTGGGTCAGAACATTGGGAATAAACTCGGAGCTGTTCTCTTCTTGTCCGGGGGAAGGAACGGCCGATGCTTGAGGCTGGTAGATGGATCTTCACAAACTAATCCTAGTCTGGGGTCCCAGCCCATCTCTCATTTCCATGGGGTCTTTCATGGCTGTGTCTTGTAGAAATGCAGTCTGAGGGCTTCTGGAATTCCTGGTACAAAGGCATTGCCCATAACACCTCCCAGGAAGAATCTCCAGAAGGGATGCCTTCCAAGTGCTGTGGTCAGAGACATTCCACATTCCACATGGCCTGTGTGGCAAGGACACAGTAAGACCAGTAAGACCAAGCAGATGCATTAAAATAAAACAATTTTTTGTTGCCAGACTTAAAAAAAAACAGAAAGAAAAAAAAAAGACTAGGGAATGAGGGCAAAACCAGCATGCAAATTTTTTCCAAGCATTTTTGGAGACCTCCAGCTCACTTTGAGTTGTGACATAAGCCAGGATTTGAACCTGGGTCTCTTCAGGGGTTGACCCAAACCATTTTGTCGTGGTCTCTTTTTCCACTGTGCCATCTGACTTTAAGGCCTCTCATTTCTATTATTTATCTGTCAAATGGGGTGCATAGATAGTGTCTCCATTTCCTTTGCAGCCCTGTTTTGTGTGTTTCTGTTTTAATTTATTTGACTACCAGGTTTTTTTGTTCTCCTGAATTTTAGAAGGACTCAGGAGTGTAGTAGATTGAGAGTTTGAGAAGCCTGCTCAGGACTTGGAAGGGTCCACCAGGGATTGGCTGGGCCAAAGTCCATGGGCTGGGACCTTCTTGCAGTTCAGGTTTTTGGTGACCACACCAGCCCTACAGCCTGTGGGTGTGAGCCACACTGCAGCACTGGGAGCCTGCAGGAGCTGGGGCCTCTGGGGAAGTCCTGGCAGCAGGTGTGACCATTCCATGGTGTGCAGAAATCCAGACTGAAGTCATGATCTGATACCTGTTTTTAACAGTCCCCATCACTCTGAATGAAGCACAGTCTGCAAGCTGAGAGCCCAGCAGAGCCGGGCTGTGTCCACATGTCCTTGGGTGACAGCAGACTCAGGAATGAGAGTGCAGGGGTCTGTTCAGCACAGACCACACACAGTAGTTTGGCCAGCTCACATTCTTTTATTTCTAGTTTATCCTGTGAGTCACTACAGTAAATCCATTTGCCCAGATATTGCAAACCCCGTGAAGTGAGACAAGACCTCACTCTGTGCTGATGAACTGGTGCTGAGGGACACCAGTTTGAGCAGGATGGGATCAGTGAGCTGTGCTGTGCAGGGATGTGTCAGGACACTGTGTCACTACCAGGGTCAGGAGACACCTCTGCCCACGGGAGGAGCCCTCCCAGTCCAGTTCCTGGGTACAGCCTGTGCTGTGGCTGCCGTGTGTGGAGCAGTGCCCTGCCAGGAGCAGGGACTGGCACCACCCTCACAGGAGCAGGGCCTGCCTGCTGGGCCCTGGGGAGACTGCAGGAGTCAGGCACTGTTGGGAAGCACAGAGGGTCAGAGGATGTTCCACAGCTTTTCCAGACGTGGTGGGCAGGCTCTGAGAGAGCCCTCCGGGCCTCCACTGGAATGTTTCCAGGAGGGTGTTTAGGAAGGGAATGCAGGTGACTGGGAAGCATAGGGAGAGCTGGCATCATGCCTCTGTAGGTGACACTTTGGTGTTGTGATGATGTCCTCAGTGTGCAGACCTGGTCACCTGTGCCAGAGGCTTTAAGGGCTGCTTGTTGCCTTAAGGAAGAGTAAGATCAGGGTTGGGTTTTTTTGCAGGGGAGGAAGCCATGACCTTTCTGGTTCAGTCAGGACTGGTGTTCATGGGCTCCCTAAGAGCCAATCCAGGCCACCTCAGCCAGAAGGCATTCAAGAAAAATACCTACCTGTTATCCCTTCACTGAATGTGGCCCATTTGCCTCCAAAATGAGGTGTTTGACCATTCTGCTGGGTGCAGGGTATGTGATTGTGTGGCACAGGAGCATGTTGTCTTGCCTTCTGTCTGCACGGTTCTGCATCCAGTGTTGACCATCCCTGCTTTGTTCTCCACACAGCAGAAAGTGCTTTCAGCAGAAGAGTGGAAGGCAAAGCTCAAAACAACTTCGAAGAAACAAACAGCAATTGCCAGAACTCCAGTGGTAAGTGAGTTCACCCCCACGTTCCTCTCCAAGCAGGATTCAGCTGTGCTCAGCAATTGCTGATGTATTTGGGGTACCTTGGCTAAGCTCACAACCCTCCTGGGGTAGTGCCCTGTTCTCCCTCCTCCCCAGGTTCCTGGCATTCCAAGCCTGTAATAAAGGACCAGGGACCAAGGACCAGGTACTTTCACATAGATTTTTCAGTGGGGAGCAAAGATGTGGAGGGAGGATGGATGGACATGCAGCACTGCTCGTGCTGTGTCTGTGTGTCAGTGCAGTCCTGGTGAAACAAAGCCAGCAACAAGCAAGAGAAGCTGAGCTGAGCACTGAGTGGTGCTCGGTGCATGTTACAGTGGTGCTGAGTGTGGCAGTTTATTTACATGTCACTGTAACCAGCATCCAGCTGTTTGTGGGTTCACTGCGCGGAGGTCACAGCATCCCAGATGTGGGACCAAAATACATCTGCTAGAAGGAATGAAAATTTACTCCACTTCTGGAGTTCCCTTTCATTATAAGTTCAAGTGGTAGCAACTGAACATAACCACTGGCCTAGACAATTTTTTTTAGGTACATTGTTGACAGAGTTTTCTCTGCAAGATTTTTATCCTGCCTGTGTATTGTCCTGCCTTCCAGTGGGCCACTACAATTCTGTCATGCTCCCTAACTGGAGCGTGACCGACCACATGAAATGCAATTTTGGCATCTTGGTGCAGAGTTAAATAACATGCCAACAGAAAAGCCTGGTCTCCCTCCATTCCCCATCCAAGAGTAGCAGAACGTGGTGTTTTCAGTGCCTCTGGTTGGAATGGAGCTGGTTACAGGTCTGCTGGGGGGGTTTGTATCTGCCTCTGAAGCAAATAAGGGACTTGCTGGAACATGCTGAAGAGGAAAGACGTGGTTTTGGAAAACCCCCCTTTGTGGTAGCAGAGTGGGTGCTGGGGAATGGGGAAAAAAAGTTGTTTGTTACTGAAATACTGCGTGTTCTGTTTTGGGGAACAATCCTGTACTAATCCAAGCATTCACCACAATTACAGCTGGTCATTCGGGGACAGAAAAACCTAAAGAAAAGAGGTGTAAGCAGAACCCATCAGGTGAGCTCGTCTCTGTGTTTCAGGCCCTTGTACCCATTAGTCCTGTTCCACCTGGGGAGCTGCAGGCAGGAGTCCTTGGCCTGGCTGTCACACACAGCTCAGAGCACTGCAGTTCCCTGACTGCCAGAGTCTCCAGCCTGGTTTGCTGCCCTGAACATGCCCCTGGGCTCTCAGCAGCTCTGCTCCTTGTGTCTTGTCTTCTGTGGGTACTAGGAGTGGTTTGAAGGGGTTTCAAAGCCTTGGAGTGCACATCTTTAAGTGCCAGTATACCATTTGGGTCCCTGGCTCCTCTGGGGCCCTTTGAAAGCAGCAGTCTGAGATTGTACCTTTTTTTATTCCTGTGAATTGTACCTTTTTTATTCCTGTGAAGCCCTGTAGACCCTACAGGCAAGGGCAAAAGCATCTTCCTTCCTATCAAACAGCTCATCCCTAGAGCCAAGAAAGCTGCATTGTAAAACCTTCTGGCTGCAAACCTCTTTTTAACTCTGGGAGGAGAGGAGATGAACGTGTAGCATGGGAGGGGGCCCAGGAACCACTGACAAGAAGCACACACAAGGAGTGGCTGTATTTAGTCCAAGACTTGGGTTCTGTCTGAACTATTAAATACTGACCCACTGTTGCTGGCACATCTCCCAGACTCTCCCTGCCAGCTCCTTGTACCAGCTCACATCACACTCATCCTTCTCAATCTGTTTTTATCCAAGCTGCTACATTTAAAGCACAGGAGTAAAAGCTCAGAGTAAAAAACAAAACAAAGCCAGGAATTCTTACAAACAGTAGAGTTTCATGGGATTTGCTGTTGTTCTTTCATTGTCAGGAGTGTTTCTGTTTGCACCACGTGCAGTGTTTATTTCAGTGGCTCAGTCTGGGGCCTGGCAGGCTGCAGGGGAGTTACAAGGTGCTCACCTTGTCTTTTGTTTGAGCCAGGAAACCTGAGGAACTCGAGTGAGCTGCTCAGGACTGGTTTGAGAGGAGTTGGGCTCTGGTTAGAAGCAGTTCCTTTCTGCATTAAGCAGCTGATACACTCCTCAAAGCCAGGCATGGGGATGTATAAACTTCTTCCCTTTTCCCCTTCCTTTACCCTGCATCCCCTTTTCTTCCCCAAGCCTGTTTTCTCTCTTTGACTCCATTTCCTGTGTGTCTCATTCAGTGCTCTTTTCCAGCTCTTGCTCCAAGCCATTTCTCCTCTTTTATTCCTTCACACTGTCAGGAGTTAGTCCCAGTGGTTTCATTGACAGCAGCCTGGGTGAGCATGACTGGTCACTGAGAGTGTCACTGGTGATCAGAGAGGCCCTGGAAAGCTCTCAGACATCTGTGTGCTCAGGTGTCCAGGCAGGGCTCTCAGTAACTGCCTTTTGGAAGAGCTGGGGTGTCTTTGCCTCCCCATTTTCCTTCTTTCCATGGCTGAGTTTCAGTGGGTGGCACAAACACCACATGGCTCAGTGTCACGTGTGGGATGGGAACTCTTGGGTGATTCTGGCACTGTTGGCCTGTCCTCCCTTGAGCCCCAGCCAGCAGATTTCACCCAGGCAGGGAAGCAGCTGGGGATAATGTGGTGGGGAATGATAGAAGGACAGACACTTCCATCCTCCCACTGCTTGTCACCAAACTGCTGCTGCTGTAAGGAACAGTCACCAGGTTTGGGAGGTAAATGTAGGTCCCAGCTGAGCAGCCCAAGCTGTGTGAGTAGGCCTTGTTAAATGCATCATTGCACTTGCTCTGTGTGGATGTGAGTTGTGCATTGCAGGCTCAGGTAAAGAGATGTCAAAGAGAGCAGCAGGAGGTTTTTAGGCCACCCAGTCAGGGACATTCTGCTCTTTCCCTGTGTCATCATCCCCACTGCAGGGCCACAGACCACTTCATGTCTGGTGTGAGGGGGAAGATGAGCAGGGCAGGAAGGTGAGCATCTAAAACCACCTAAAACAGACTTGGATGCAGTGCTGTTGGGAGTCCTGGGGGGGGGGGATAAGACAATTAGAATGGAAAATGTTGGATTTCAGATGTCTGTGCCCTGTGCACAACCCCAGTCCTTGTCACAGTGAATGCAGGTACCTGAAATCCTTGTCTGAGTGCTCTGGCATCCCACTGCCCATAAACCAGCAGTTCTGTGTGTGTGGCAGACTCTGCTGTGTGGCTGATTTGAGTCTCCTCCAGTAGCAGGTTTGTTTCCCAGCAGGGTGGGATGGAGCCATGGAGTGGATGGAGAAGGACTCTTCTCAGCTGTAGTCCATGATGTGATTGGGGAGTAGCCTTTGTATTCATGGAAGAGTCTCCACAGCCCCTTAAAGTTCTTTTTGATGAAACCTGGAAGTTTGACAGTGCTTTAAGAACAGTATCCTGCTAAAACGTTCGAGTTGTTCCCTTGTGCCGCCTCGGGAGCACAGGCAGCAGAGGTCCCAAGTCACATGAAGCTTCTGTTTACCCACTGCTGAACTAAGGTCCAGAAAACAGTGCCATGACCTGGTCCTGAAACATGGAATTATCTCATTGGGATGTAGAAGTTGTTACTCAGTGAGGTGCCATAAAACTGCTTCCAAGGAAACCCTCCATGGTGGGGGTCGTTCTGCTGAGTCTTGGCACGTGCTGGGGTTTTCTGGACTAAATTCTCAAGAAGCCAAACCATATTCCAAGGTCAGCCTGTGTAATGCTCTTCTGCAAAAGCCAGTGATGATCAGCCTGGGCTTGGGAAGGGAAATCCTGGAAAGGGGCAAAGCTGAGTGCTGTGTTCCATAGTGAAGGTCCCTGCTGGGCCCTGCACTGGTGCACTCTGGAACCACACAGCTCCCAGGCTTTGGGATCTGCCCATTGTCTCATCTTCTGTCTGGCTTCAGGAAACCTCAGGGGCAATGACCATCTCTGCCTTAAGTGTTTACAGCCTAATCCAGCTTGATCTGTTGTTTTGGACACTATGGATGACTCCATTGTCAAATAAAAGCCAAGAGGGATTAAGAAAATTGTAAGAATTCGAAAGGAAAAATAAAAGCAAAGGAGGAAAAAAAACTCTTTGGTTTTGACACCTTAAAATACAGCCATCAAAGGAAAAATCTAATTGAAATTGTCAGTGTTTGTTGAAGTCTAAACTTGCTCAATGTTATGAATGTGAAAGAGAACAGTTAAAATTATGTAGGGAATTGGGAAATATTTTGAACTTTTGAGGTTGATTTAAGCTGTATAAATATGTCTCAATTTCATCTGCTGCATTAGGGAACTATTACTGTCAGAACTTCCAGTGCAACAAATTTTAACATTTACAGTTTTTAAAATGTCAACACTTCTCATTCCTATTTACACAGGGAAGCTTTGCTTTCCAGCACTGTTTATTCCAGACTGGGTAGAGGGTCAAGGGAAGGATCTTCTTTTTTTGAATCAGTTTGTGCCAAGCTGATGTGAGATTGAGACTGAAAAAAAAATTGATTTCCTCCTTTTGATTTAAAGTAAAAATTCTTGGAAAAGCCTGAGAATTACCAGTTCTTGGAATTTAAAGGACATTGAACTAAATTTTAAACATGCATTTAGTTGGATTTTCAGAAATTACAAATTTGTTGGTTTGTCATTACAACATATTCCATCAGTTGTAGCATTGAACTATTTCAAGCAAAAGGACAATTAGAAATGTCTCACTCACCACTTGTCACATAAACCCAGTATGGTTAGCCTGTGTTAGGCAGGATGTAAGTAGTTCTTTTTTGCTTTAGCTGAGCAGAACTAACCTTTAGTTTTATGAGAAGCAGCAAAAAGACAGAGTGTGAATCAGTGTTAAACTCATGATTTAATCTCCTGAAGCACAGTTTGGGGTGCTGGGAGCAGACCTGAGTCCCCCGCCAGCTCCTGGTGCAGCACCAGGAGTTCAGGTCCTGCTCTTGCCCTGCAGTGCCAGGTGCCCCTGGGTGCATGGCCAGACTGAGACTCTCAGCAGTGGTTCCTGCCAAATTCCTGTCCAAAAAAGCTGTTTTGCCCCGGCAGTGAAGGTGGTCACGGGGCACACATGGCAGGAGTTGGCTTAGGAGTGTTACAAACACAGGGATCTTCCTCCTTCCCTGCTGTGGCCATACATCCCCTTCTGCTTGTTCTCTGCAGTCCAGTGATCACACAGCCCATCTGGTGGGATTTCTGCTGGAGGACATGACTTTTAGGTTAGGATTTTTGGTGGGTGAATGCAACGTTAGTGCTTGGGCCTTAATAATTCTTGGTTCTTGATTACAGTGTGATGTTAGCCCAGCCTGTGGCTCTGCCTCCATAGCACACCCAGCTGCCTCACAGGGTCTGTCAGCTGGGCCTGAGCACAAATACAGCTCACATTGAAGTGGTTCCTCCCCTGGGAAATCTCCTTCTCATCTAGCAGCTGGTCTGTGGCTGGTACGAATTTCCATGGAGTTGGGAGACCCAAAGACCAAGTTTGAGCACTAAGGAAATGGGAAGGGGTTGCTCTGTGAGCTCCCACAGTTGTGCAGGGCACAGGGAATGCTGTTGATGGGGGAAGGGGGAATTGCACAGATAATAGAGCTGAATTTTCAAAGCAGCCTGAAAATGCTGTGCCCAGAAGAAGGGTCACCATTGCAGTGAGAATGAGATCAGCCCAGGGAGAGGCTTCAGTCGAGAAAGTGTCGCTTTGCTCAGTTGCATAAATAAGTCATTGTGTCCACTGGGCATTTGTGTGGAATGGGGTTCCTAGGAATGAGCTGTTTATTTTTGGTGCCACATTCATTTAAGCTGTTCCAGACTTCTCATGTTGAACAGGCAGCTTGTAGACAGGAAGAAAGATATGTGGGTTAAAATAAGCACTCAGCAGCCAGTCTCTGTGGGTGATATCCTGCCAATTGCTCAAGAGCCCTGGGACACTGGGAAAGACATGAGGCAATGCATATGAAAGCACTGAGGGAATGAGCAGTCAGCAGAACTGGGACAGCCAGGGATAGCAGCTGGATTGCAGGCACAGATCCTGGGCTGGGCTGGGGCTGGGCAGGATGTGGCCAAAAGAGTCACTGAGAGAACAAAGTATG